TCAGCGGTCTCCTTCATCAACAGCAGTCGAGCCGCTCTATGTGGGCGGCGGAAGGCTCCTCTTTATTTTAGCTCCTAAACAGTGTTCAGTTTCTTCTGTGTGTGTATATGGTGAGATACTCAGTGTGTTTGTGTTGGAGATGAAAGAGGTTCGAGTAGAGTGAGTACAGCGATTGGGAAAAGATGCACATGTTCTTGTTGACGATATGTAAATTCTGGGAGGAAAAATTGGGAAAATTATTGTTATTCATACGAATTAGGGTATAAGTGTACAGAAATCAACAATAATTTTCCGAAATTTCTACCCAATTTTATACTGTCACCAACACATCTGCTGACCATGTGTATATTCCTCCACACCGGAATAGAGTTTGTCTGAATTTTTATTATAACAATGGCAACAACGGCGGCGGCAGTCGCGGTCGCAGGAGCTTCTCTCGTCGGCTCTGCAGCGGGAACGTTGTTTTCGTATAATAAAGCCGTATTTATATTAGACCAGACCCTGAGGCAATGGGCTGTTCATCAAGTGCAGGACATGAGGATCGCGCAGGTGGGTCGCCAGGGCAGTTCTGATTGAAAAATCGTAAAATGTGCTAAGTTGTCAGATCGGACTTTATCGCGAGGATTTGCGAGATCTCTTTGGCCTGACTATCTCGAGGATGGACACATATATGACAGTGAATTCAGTGGGACTCGCCGTTGCTGTGCATTCAATATACTGTGGTATGATACCACCTGATATTCCTCAACCGAGAGCAGTCCCTTCATGGCTGTGGTTCATTTGGTGAGTAGAGTTTACTTAGCTCAGTTGATTATGTATCTTGGCTCCTAGTTCGGAGGTCGTGGGTTCTAATCCTATGGGTGATGTTTTTGCTCAATTCAGGATCCTCAATTTATCAGCAAGCACTGTCCTCCTTCTACTATCCGTTTCCTTTTCCCTCCACGCCTCCATCGTTGCCCAGTCTCTCGAAGTCAAACTCCTTACTCGATGGCTAAGGTAGGGAGCTCGGCCATGGTGGCGTCATCAGACACTCCATTCTGTTCAGGCTGCCTCTCCCTACAATGTCTGATATTGACAATGCGGCCGACACATTTGAAGTAAGGGGGATGGGATAGGTCTCGGGTTCGACTCCCACGCCCTGCAATTGTTGTCGCTTTCTCAACGGCTTCTTATTTCAGAGGTTTGAATGCAACCCCGTGAGATCAATCTTACGAGTACCCCTGGTACAGCGGCTCTCTCATCGGTGGCAAGCTAAGGCTGGATCGACTCGGAAGGACGCAAGGGACGTTGGCAAGAACGGTATGATGGATCATGCTGAAGATGAGAAGTAAGATAATTTACCCGGAGGGATGGACACTGAGGAAGCATTAGAGACTGCTTGTGTCGTATAGCGCACCTCAACTGCTGTTCATCTCATTGGCTTTCGGGACGAGTTCTGGGTTTCTTTCCTACGACTACACGAGTTCATTCTCAATTTGCTGCATACTAGGGGGTCGTAGTAGTGGTAGTCTGATAATCATCAGGTACACTGTATCTCACTTTTCGCTTTTCCAACGCCTCCAGAAAGCATGGCTGGGCTATGACTCTTACGCTCGAGTTTTCATGGTCTTGGCCACCAAC